GTAGGCTTATAGCTTGCAAGCACAAAACCCCATTTTTTGCTATTGCACAAGGACAGTTGTGTTTTAAGACCATTATTCAGTATTTTGATTTTCACTGTACATTGGTAGAGTCATGTATTAAACATAATCCCTGAAATCTTTCTTTCCCCCATCTGGTATGGTTTGCGTGACTAGAGACCACTCACTAAAATGAGGAGTTCAGGACTTATCAGTAAGCTCGTATTCACTTACTAGACACTGCAGTATGAAAATGAAAAAGATGAAATTAATTACTACCTTGAGAATCCCCAACTGTACTAGAACTGAAAAGAAAATTCATACTGCTGTTCAATTGATTCCATAGTCACACCGTAACTCTTTGCAAATTATAAAAAATTACAAGAACCATCCAGATATCATCCTTGATACACTTGTGTAGAAAAAGCTTAAATAGAGTGTTTATTGGAGAAAGCATAGAGCTGAGAGAGAAAAAGCATACTCCATTCTTGTTTGTGCTATTATCAGTATTGATCTGAAAGGCTGGGCTGATACACTGATCCTTGCTTCCCACTTTCTTTAAATTACTCCCACTGAGAAAAATTGCTTATTTCTCCATCGAGCTCGGAAGCGCTGAGAGTGTTGTTAAACATTCACATATTTCTTGTTAACTAACTGGCTTGCTTGTCTGCAATTTTGATCTTTGTTGACATTCTCTGATTTACAGAATTACTAAAATTTGGCAAGAGATTCTGCAAAGATAGAATTTGGAACATTTTTTATAGTCTCTTTTCCCTCAATTACTTTTCTATGTATTAACCCTGTTCTTTGGGCTGAGTCAGTAACCCTATCAACAATAGTGCATTTTGCACAGACGTGTTGAAAACATTTTAGCCCAAACTGTGTTACCACTTCAACTGCTGTGATCAGTACTGTACTTCCATCCTTCACCAACTGCAAGTACCAAATGCACTACTGTTAGAGTCAGACCATGCAATTTTTTTTCCCCAAAAAATATTTAATTGTTTTTAGAGACCGTAACTTAGTACCACAAGTAACTTATTTAGAAATTAGCCTCACTGAACATCAGTTTTACTACTGATGCAAAAGCAAAATATTACTTAGTTCACTTTCCCATTCTTCATTTGGTTGTGGAAAGATTACAGTAAAAGAGTTGAAAACACTTCTTCCACTGACATTTTTATTAAAAAAGAAACATATAATTCCAAATGCATAATGATTTGCTGAATAAGATGCAATTTTTCTGACCAGTGCTATCTCTTTAGATGGGTGGTCAAGAGCAAAATTAGTAACTTTTAAGCCCCAAATAACTGTTAACGTACTGGGAGCTGCTCTGCTGCAAAGGTCAAGATACAAATGCTTTTGTAAATTGATTATATGCACACATACTCCCTGCACTGATGAGAAGACATTTTGACACAACCTCCATGTTGCATTTTCTTAACTCTTCAGAAAGTACCCTAATGTTTTCACACTGCTGAGAACTCAGTTTGGACTAATTCACTTGCATATTCTAGCAGTCATACAGTACATATTCTCAGCTGCATGTAAATTGCCTGAGAAAACATAAAGGGAAATAATAATGACAATTACAATTATCATAACAAGAATTTCAAAGCCCCATTCTCCTATCATACCAAGAGCCCTTCAAAAGACAGCGTTAACCTCGCCCTGTATCTGGGAAGCAGGGTAAGATGCAGGGCTGAGGAGCTGGCACTGCTACAGCCCGACTCAAGAATTCCCATCTGCAAACCCTTGGTTTGGGGAGCAGCCTCTGGTTACTTCTGGTCCACCCCCGTCGAGCCTGAAGTTAAACCCTAACTTCATAGGCACTCCCAGGCATCTGTCATTAACTTTGTCCGGGAAACGACTGGGCAAAGGGAAGTGAGAGCCAACTCTCATCCCGGTTTTAACTTTGCAGATCTATTTCCAACGTTGGCCCAATGGCCAAAACACCGCACACACCCCAAACACGGGGATTGTGAGGTTTCCAGACCTCTGTATGTATTTCTTTTGTACTTTCCTGACTGCCGGTCACTGGGTATCCCTCCTCACTGTATGGGCAGTGTGAGGAGATCCAGGGCCACTTTTGCCTATCTGCTCAGCCTTCACACAAGGGTAGCGTGGCATGGGCTACCCCGGAGCATCACCCATCCCGTGTGCGGTGCTGCAGGCTCGTCGTGGCCGGCAGCACCATAAAAGGGGAAAAATATTCCAGTTTAAGCTCTCTGGGACAAAACTGGGCATAGCGCCTTGTTCTCAACGATGCTGAGCCCTGTTCTGCTCATCAGATTTCACAGCCGCATGTAGAAAACAAAGCGTATCTAGTTGCCTGTCTCCTATGATAGGATCAGGTCCAAAAGGGCTTCTTTAATAAACCAGTAAACTCTTGCACAAATATTGTGCTGCTACCTTTTAACAGCGTACATGACACCGCAAAAGATAACAGAGCAACGAGCAGATGTAAAGTTAAAACCACACCTCCACCTCTTGATTTTCCAGAGCACAATTTCTTCTTTTAAAATTCATGCTTTTCATCAGAATTTGTGACAGATATCAGGAAATAACAGTTTTTAATGTACTGTAAAAACTGCACCAGCTTAAGTGCTTTCCTATATTTTAGAATAACTGGCTATACTTTCTAAATACTTATTTTTCTTCCTTTAGTGACACATTGTTGGGGTCTTTGGTTCTTGTCTTTTAAAGTTATTTTCTGAAGTCTTTTAAAGTGACATAGAGAAGTAACTAAACTCCTTTTCATAAAAGATACAATTTTTTCAGCATATAAAATGTTGATGTTTTTCTCCTACCAGTGGGAAGAGAAGACTTTAACCATTTAATAACTAGCAAAAGTTTTGATAGGAAAAGACTCCATGTGCTACAGTAAAGTACAATCTGATTTGACAGCATATTATTGAGATTACTAGAAATTTCAGGGGACTAACAGAAATACCAACTGCAACAATCAAGACTCCTCATGAACACCTGCTTAGGGACTTAATTTTGCTTTAATGGGCTATTACCAAGGCTTCTCTAACAAACTCCCTCGTTGTCGTCCCCGTCCCCGTCCCCCCCCCAATCAATTCTGGATCAATACAGACACACATGCCCTGCGCAGAGCCTTCTGTTCTTAGGACAGGATTAAAAGATTCATTAGTTTTATGATAGCTTGGTTAAAAGATGGAAATTAAAAAAAAAAAGAGAGAAGATGCACATGTCCCACACAGTTTAGATCTCTTCTGCTTAACAAACTCAGCATTTGCAAAGATTTGACAGAAGGGAGGCAACTTTTTATTGATTATCACAGTAATAAGGCTCTGAAGAATCCCAAAGCACGTTGCTCAGTCTCCATGAATGATCAATTAAAAGCCTGCTTGAGAGCCAGCTTCCACCAAAATTCACTGCCATTTCTTAGTGAAACTGAGGTAGTAGAAAATAAGGGCAGACAAGCAGTTTTTAAAAACAACTCTGTATTCTTTCAACCAAACAAGTCCCAAAACTTTAAACAGAGCAGACGTCAGCTGTCCGAGTACTGAAATAACTTACTGAAAGCTCTGACCTAGGTGTATCAATTATTTTTTATAACCTTTAACATTATGGAAAATGTATTCCTTCACTGACTTTGCAACAGCAAGTATTTATTTTCTCCAAGTTAATCCTGAGTATTACTTTTCTTTAACCAAAAACAAGACATGGAAAAAGTCTACAAAGTGTTATAAATTCATTAGTTAAAACCCAACAGCTTAAAAAGCATTTAAAATGTTGTGCAACACAAAACCATGCATTATCCACAACTACATTTGGTCTACAATTTGATCATGTTCTTACAGCTTCCCAGAACAGGATTTTAAAAAATACTTCCTTTATTATGAAATACAATGCTGTTCAAAGTACAAAATTAAGACATTTTTCTGCCAAACATATAGATTTATTGCACCAAGTGCTAATGAATATTGCCTGCACAAAGGAAAACATTTCAGTTTTCCATGTAGTTAATAAGATAAAACAGCCTACTTTTTACTACAAAGCCACTTTAAAAGTAGTAAATGGTATTTTCTCTATCTACCTAGTTATATCAGATTCATCTGGGTTTTGGACAACTGCATACAGAACATCTGGTCTTAATAGAAAAAGGACATTATGTTGGTACAACAGACTGGATTTTAATAACGTGATTTTAAAGAAACACAGAGAACGGATACTCTGTATGCGTCACTTTGCTCGTCTGAGTTCAGAACAAATAACACCAAAAACATCTCCAAGTGTTTGTTGGTATTTTGGGTTCTTTTTGAATCTGCTCTGCTTACTTGAAAGCAAAAGAATAAATTCTAAAAACAGGCAATGATTTAACCCTGAGGGAGCAGATACTGCACTGATTCTCTCTCACAAACACATCAATTAGATCCAACTTTTTGGATGCAGAATAGTCTTTCCTGCATAGATATATTCTTGAATTTTCAGTCTTTTTTGCTTTGCATAATCAGAAACTACATGGTTTTCACTTAAAAGACAGTAACTCTATTAAACGTAATCATTTTCCCACACATATTTACAGTTCTATTTTCAAAATATTTTGCCCAGGTTGCTGAGTAAACAGAGTTCACATTTACTGATAATGAGGACTCACACAAATTGTATGTATGTAACCAGAAACACAGCTTTAAGATGCAGAATATATAATGACGACATTTCAGAAGAGAAACTTTCTTATCTAACTCACTGGTGAATAGCAAATGAACTTAATAGCCCCAGAAAGCAGAAAACAAGCAATATATTTGCAAACGCCTTTTATAGATTAAGAAAAAGTGCTTGGAAATCCTCATTGCTCAGAAAAAACCTTACAATCACCTAGCAACCTATGTTACTGCTGCTTTCAATTTTGAACAGGCAGCCTTCACATTCAAAGATGTATCTGAGCCAACTGATGCAACTGTAAGTTTAAAGCAAAACAAAAACAAAAACAGAGATAATTTTTTTTTGTTATTTAAATAAATTGCCCCTACCTTTCTTCTGCGAGTACGATGGCGACTGCACTTGAGAAAAAGTAGGTTTTTCTTCGGTGAAATATTCAGGTTGGTTGTACTGATTCAGGGCCATGTCCATGTCAGAGTACTCGCTTTTAAACACGTTTCCAGGGTAACTACAGGTATAAGGCTGATTCACCGCCCAGGCCTGTTCCATATATATGTTGTTACTGTGCAGGACCTGAGCATCACAACTGCTGTAACCCTGATTATCTTCGATATATGTGCAATAATCAGTGGACTGCATGTAGCAATTGCTACCAGCAGCTGGGTGCACTTCATATATTTCTTGCATACAGTAGTTCATTTTGTTACCCTATCTCAGCTTCTACTTTACGTACACACACACATGCATACACACGCAGGCATGCATACACATGGAACGAGAGAGGAGCAATGAATATACACCAACAAAGTCGACTGCAAAATAGCCCGTTTTACTTTGGAGCAGCACCTGATGTGCTAAAATCCTATTTATATTGGGACGGCTTGTGAACTCCCCTGCCAGTCAAACATATTGGGAAGCAGATTTATGACAGTCAAAGGTCTTAATCTGTGACTGTAAGTTAATTCCAAGGGAAGATGGCAGGCAGGTAGCAACGACCACCAGACAAAGAAGCGACGTCTCGACAACCCTCCTGTTCCTCCGTTTGTCTGGCATAATCATTTTATAAACCATTTCCAGCCTTTTCCAATATGATTAGAAAATGATTACTAAGGCGAGGACACAGTTATGTCACTGTAGTTGTCAACTTAAGTGTGAAGCATTATAAAGACTGCTTAAGAACTCCCAGAGGGGATACGCTGAAAATCCTAAAATCAATAATCCTGTTTTTCAGCATTAAACCATAGAAAATCCAATAGTGCTGTGCTGATGACCCAAACAGTCGTCTAGTTTTACAAAATTCAGCAACTTAATCTGTCATCAGCTTTATTGATTTTGTTTTACAGAATTACATGCATGAATCTCCCCAGCCTTCCACACATTCACAATCCTCCCCGCTGCCTGGTAATGCATTTACAGGAAAGCAGCTTTGCTAAACTTCAGTGATTTGGGGAGGTAATTTCTGTTGAGTTCAACAGGTGGGAAACTTCAAAATAATATAATCAGCAAAAAGAACACTGCTTAAATATCATCAATAAGCTAATTGCTTTGCTATTCTGCTTTGTTATCTTTTATGCTTCAGTAATGAAGTACTTTCAGAAGCGTATCTTTTTCGACAACAGACTGAGTAGCGTAAGGAGGGGTTTTTGCTCATTTTGGCTCACTGATGAGCGATGAACATGTCAATGCCACTACAACAAAAATGGTATGATCTTATAATTGCTTAATGCACCCCAAACCTCAATACGGTTAATATACCTTGTTTAATCAGCCATTCTTTTTGATCTAAAAGAAATTATTTTAACTTATACTAGCTGCTATTTGTTTTTTACTAGGCAAAATAGGTTTTTTCTTTACAGCACAGCTAAAATATGGTAAAACTTGTGAAGTCAGTAACAAGACGGTATCCCTCTCTAATTTCTGTTCTTATTATTAGGAAGCAGACTTATTACTGATTCGATAATGAGGTCTTAGTTTTCTTGTTTCACTCAGATTAAACTGTCTACAGGATTGCCAAAATTACCATGTAGGTTGGCCCTTTTTCATCTAGGATCTTAAGTATACACCTAACAACCTTGATGAACATACACCTAAATGTCCTCAAGAGTTCAGTGAAACAGGTAAGAACTGGGCATGATACGTACATATTTCTCCCTATCCGATATAGTTTAATATTTCAGTCTAATGCAAAGAGCCGACGGAGAAATGTTCTCCCTTCCAACATACACCCGTAACTAATCTATATAAAGAAGCAGCATTGCCAATTAGTATTTAATGTGCAGGCTAACAGAATTCAGGATATGTGCTTCTGAGGATCAGAAAAGTTAAAATTCATTCTCGGATTTTTAATTTTTTTCCTCTAACTATAAAAGAAGCATCTTTAACACACATTTCTTATTAACTTGCTCAGAAAATAATAATACATTTGGTAAGTCAAAATGAACTCTATCAAGACCAAGTCTATTGAAGTCAACGAAGTCGCTTCCAAAATGAACTTTTTCTGCTAAAACTCTGCTTACTTCATTAAGAGCACTAATAGTTACTGAAATCCCACAAGTAAAACACGAATGAACCCTCATTCTCCATGCTGGTTTTACTAAAGATTTAATTCAACAAATAGCACCGTGAGATACCATGTGAAAAAGCACAAAATAGAAGTTCATTTTCATTTTAGTTCAGGCCCATGATCTAGATTTTACAAACAGTGATTTTGTCTGCGATAACAAGCATGTCTTAGGCAAGCTCTGATTTTTCAAGAATGGATGTTCAGCACTTCATAAAAACATGCCCGTGCTTCCTAAGAAACTTTGCAATAGTTCTTTACACAGAACCCCCCAAACCGTACTTGTTTATGTGATCGGCTGGTAATACTGTAGTGCAGACAAATGTAATGCGTACAACCTGCCAAGCGTACTTCTCCACACTCGCCAGAAAGAAAATATTCCACAAGTGCAATACGCGGGTTGTTCATTTACCACAAAACGATCTCCTGTACATTTAACAGGAATTTATGTCAGAGCTTGCACAGAGGTGAGGCTGTATTGTACAGGTTAGCACAGCGGAATACCTAGATACTTTTATACCACTCAGAAAAGCTTCGGAGAACTAGGCTTTAAATTCTTAGTGGGAATTTTTCCCCATGTGGATTTCTTTTGCCAGATGAGTCAAAATTTCTACGAATCTTCTCTTCTCTTGTTCTTTCCCCCCAAATTTGATTTAGGTTTGTTACTGAAAAGCTACACAGAATTGAGACTGTGTGTGGACAGAGCTGTCCCAGCCAGGATGGCACCTGACGATACAGTATCTCAACGTGGCACAGCCTGTGACTTACTTTTTGTTCCAAAATAAATCCCTCAGACATTTCTTATTTTCTACTGCTATGTCAATAATGCTTAGAAATGTGGCATATGTACTACTTTTGTCAGAATTACTGTAACACCGCAAGGAAATTAAACTACATGAAACTGTGAAGAATGAGGAGAACAAGAAAAATGGATGAGCGCCTCTTCTGACCAAAAAAAAAAAAAAAAAGAACGATAAGCATTGCCAGAGAATCCAGAAAATGGCGGTTCCTTACCTGTAATGTGCTAACATTAAAGAGCTTTATAGCACTGCAGATTTATTTCCAAGGGAACAACAATCAGTTCAAAAAACACTGCAAAGATTTAACATCCCTATTAAAACTGAAATATGCCCCAAATACTTTCATTTTAACCTCTTAGGGTCCAATCCTGCCGGTCCCTTTCATGTATCACTTTGAATTAAATCATCTGATAAAAGACAGTCAGAGGGGGTCTTTATCAAAAGTCTGAAAGTGGACTAGAAAATAATATTAACAGCTTCTCTTTGTCTTGTATTTTGATTTGAGTATTACAGTATTTAAATCATGTCATGCTGAGCTTTCATTGCCTTCAGCAATGTAGTATCACACTTGGATTTTTATTAGTTCACAAGTGTCTGATTATGCGAGCACATGGAAATTAATCACCAGCAGAATAAAACCTCTGGTGCGAGCAAACAGGCCAGTCATAAAACAGAAACTTTGATACTGCGGCAGAAGCGGATCCAAAGTTTGAATGCTGCGCAGCCTGAGGTGTCAGTTCATTGTATTAAAAAAGGTAGAAATTACTTGCTGAACATGAGTCTTGAATGCCCCAAAGGTTTTGAAACACTCACCCTGGTGTAAATCAGAAGTAAGTGTAGTACAGTCAGTGATGTTACACTGGATGGGCAGAAGCCAGGCCAAAAATGCCTGAAAGGAGAGACTGCCTTACACTAGACCATGCACCTCCTCATCGACTCCCGCTGTAAACATTCTTACTAAAACTTTTAATTATGAACAAACAAATGCCCCACTAAGCTGCATTTCTCTTGTGACTTCACTCAGTTACAAAACCCACCAAAATGAACCCACAGCAATGTTAAGGCAAGACAGTATTCCTGTGGACGATCATCCCGACAGTACACCCCAACCAACAGAGATCCCCGACACACAAAAAAGAAGTGTCTTTCAGCGCAATCCACTCCGTTGTGTGCCTCGGCTACCTGCGTGAATGTGCAGGTGGCATATTACCTGCAAGAGTCTTATTCTCCTGGCTGCTTCCAAACTGTGCACCCCTGGTCTAGAGCCCTGGCTACCTCCATGCCGCAGTTAGGGTCCCTACGTGCCAGTTTTAAAAGATTCGGCAGTGTCAGTAGGTGGGAGGTATTGCAGAGCGTTTAAATCAGTCAGGGCAGACTGCTGCTCCTAAAGGACCAAATGGAAGGATCTTACATCAGTTGTGTTTATGCTTTAAGTGTACAGATTAATAAAAATCCAGTATTTGGTCAAAAAGTTTTGCATGTTTGAACATGTAGTTGCAAGGATTAAACATACTTTTCTAAACTCTTAACAGTTATGCACACTTGTATCATCAGCTCTTAGATTTACAATACATATTTTTACATGTTACAACATAACTGTTACATTTCCTATTTATAGATTTTCTTGTTGCCTGCATTCTCTCAGCCACCTCTGATGAAGGTTATGGGGGAAAAAAGAAAAAAAGATGACTGCTCTTCAAGGAGAACAAAAATCTGCACTTTCAGGTCTCACACCACATAACACGGGGCACATCCCAGACAGTCCCTATCTTTTCGTATCATAAAGAAAATACACTGAAAACTGTAACAGTTTTTGAGCAGAAGTACTAACGCGGCTTTTGCAACAGACATCGTCTGTCAAATAGAGCTATTTCCATGCCCACATCGTAAGTTACCACCTCTCTTTAATGTATATATTTGCACTTACTCATTCACTTTACGTACTATGATCAGAGACTCAAAATGGTTCCTCAAAAATATGACTATGCAAACTTAGTGTCATAAACTAAGAAAACCTCAAACACCAGAATTCAAAATAATACCGAGCACTTACAAGAACAGAAAATTAACTCTATATAGTATTGATCTTAATTTGAAAACTCTACTTGTGACTAAATCATAAAATATGTAGAGTTAACGGAATTCTAGTGCCATAAAGTTACAATAGCATTTGACAGTTCCTGGAGTATGTCTCAGTGGAATCAAAGACACTAAAAATTGTCATTTTGTCTACACTGTATTTATTATAGCAAGCGATACAGCTGAGGGAAAAAGACCTAAAGCTTTCTGGCATAAAATAATTTATTTGGGTTTGCAACAGAAGCAGCAAGCTTCAAACTAGCTAGGCCTGGCTTAAAC